TATGTATATATACATATAAATATGTACATACATATATTATAAATATATATGTATATATATTAGCGCTGATGCTAACCCTATACATTATCTCTGAAGCTAACATGAAAGTGGAGTAATTTCTCCTTTCTGGCTGAACGTCAGATGATGTCCAGCTGATTGGAGCTCTCGCCAGAACAACCAGTCTACATTACTTACCCAGAATGCATTGCAGGATAAATAAAATAGCCACGTCCATTTGTCTTTTTTTTTTTTTATTTAAAAATCAAACTGCCTACATTATTCCTATGGTCTTGTTTCATTAGAAGAAATAATTGTTTATCAAATAAGACTTATTGTTCCAACAGAGATCCCTTCAATTTTTTTTGTTAAGTTTTAGATGTCGGTTGATGTTTTTGCTCTCCTCTTCAGCCGAGCACTGTTATAAAGAAATGCACATTCGTCTTTTTAAATATATATATATTTTTTATGTTTTCTCAGAGGAGCACTTTGTGGACAAACACAGAGACCAGCTGATCCAGAGAGTGTCCAACGTTTCCGCCATCTTGGATCAGCTTTTAAAGGAAAAAGTGATTACAGATGAAATTTATGATGATATCAGATCCAAACCAACCAGTGTAGCCAAGATGAGGGAGATCTACACTGGTCCAATGAAAGGAGGAAAATGCTGCAAAGATGTCTTGTACAAAATCCTTAAAAATCTGGAACCATTTCTCATCGCCGACCTCGAGGGAAACTAATCTCTGCAGGAAAGTTTACTTCAAAATTTACCAGAACAAACTGGCAATGAATTGGTAATAAAAGTCTTTTTACACACCTGATTGTCTTTCTATTTGTTAAGCATTACTTGTTTTGTTTAGTAGCAATATTTCATAAACACTGTTAAAAAATGTGCAGAAAAAGTTTATATATATATATATATATATATATATATATATATATTTTTTTTTTTTAATACTGTATTTTAAAAATTTCTGGAAGCTCTGAAAGCAAATTAAAAGTGTTAGCTGTAGGTTTATTAAAAGGTTAGCTTTTAAATCTGTCCAGGTGAGCTTGGAGGTTTGCTGGGGTTGACTGTAGTTTTATTGTACTGCCACAAATACAGACATGAAAGAAGTCCATCCATCCATTTTCTTTACCCGCTTATTCCATTTTGGGTCACGGGGGTCGCTGGTGCCCATGTCCAGCAGTCACTGTGCGAGGGGCGGGGTACACCCTGGACGGGTCGCAAGTCCATCGCAGGGCCACATAGAGACAAACGAGACAAACAATCATTCACTCTCTCACTCACACCTAGGGACAATTTAGAGTTACCAATCAGCCTAACATGCATGTTTTTGGACTGTGGGAGGAAACCGGAGTACCCGGAGAAAACCCACGCATGCACGGAGAGAACATGCAAACTCCACCCAGAAAGGCCCCTGGACCTGGGTTTGAACCAGGGACCTGCTCGCTGAGAGGCAGCAGCTCTACCAGTTGCGCCACCGTGCTGCCATGAAAGAAGTCAACTGATGATAAAAGTAAGATTCGACCCAATTGAGTTGTTACAAGGGAATTCAAACTCTGAAACTATTAGCATTTTATTAAGATACCTGAAACAGGTCGTTTGTTTGAAAGAACGTGAGTTATATTTATTTATTTTATTTATTGGAGCGCCATTCCAGTTCACATTCTTAACCAGCAGGTGGCGGTACAGCTTCAAATATTTCCTGCCGACCGTCAAATAAAACCGAAGAAGAAGAAGAAACCGGAAATAAACGGTTCTTCTGTGTTTTGAGCAGGTTCGTGCTTGTTCAGATTTATTGATGTTTTTAAATGTGTCGCAGTTTGATTTTTATCGAACCGAACTACATTCTGGTCGGTTTTGGACCATTTGTTTGTGTCAGAATCATCCATAGATGATTAACAGTTGCGCTTAATTATGTCGCCTGTGTCTGTCAGTAAAATATCTGTAAACAGTCAGACAAAATGTCTGCAGCTCACTTCATTTTACAGAAATTGAGTTTTCTAATATTTTACGAAAACAACAAAAACTCGTTTCTCATCACGAGTGTTATTTTGTGACATAGTTCATTTATTATTTATTTATACACATATTTTATTTATTTAATGGTTTTGAAGCGCAGATGTCTGAAAAGTTCTGAGTTTGAAACAGTCTGAAACCTTAAATGGATGTTCTGTAGGAGTTCTGTTTTTAGGCCCGACTGGACCGGGTCAGTTCTCCTCTGACGTCACGTTTTCGCTTCAGGTCTGAGGACCGAGGCAGAGATGAGCTGCAGTTTCCACCTCCACCGCAGGTCGGTCCTGCTGGTCCCGTCCCGACACTCGGTTCTGATCAGGTGGCTCGGTTCGGCTCGTCGGATCAGCCGGAGCCTCCAGGAGAACTACCGCCTCCTGCAGCTCCCTGAGGAGGACCGCAGCAGCCCAGAGCAGGTGAAGGACGCCTACCTGCGCCTCGCCAAGCTCTACCATCCGGACTCCGGAGCCGCCACAGCCAATCCGGTTCTGTTTGCTCGGGTTGAGGAGGCGTACCGGGCCGTGCTGACCCATCAGAGCAGAACCATGCCCTCTGATGGAGAGGAGGAGGAGGAGAGGCCCAGGGGGGCAGCTCTGCAGCACAGATCCTACCTCAGCTATGACGGCGTGGGCTCGGGCACGCCCAGCCAGCGGGAGCGTCAGTACCGGCAGGTCCGTGTGGACCGGGCGGTCGAGCAGGTTCTGGATTACAGACAGAGGGAGCAGGAGCGGGCGGCGGCGGCGGACGGGGCGCTGGTGGAGCGGGACGTGCGTCAGCGCAGCAGGAACATAAGGATCACGCAGGCGGTGGAGCGGCTGGTGGAGGACCTGATCCAGGAGTCCATGGTCCGCGGAGACTTCCAGAACCTGAGCGGCGCCGGGAAACCCCTCAACAAGTTCCAGCACAACCCGTACGCCGACCCGATGACCCACAACCTGAACCGCATCCTCATCGACAACGGCTACCAGCCTCCCTGGGTGGTGACGCAACGGGACATCAGAGAAGCCACGGCCCGGATCCGGAACCAGCTGCTGGAGGGCCGGGCCCAGCTCGGCGACCCAATGACTCCCACCGAGCAGAACCAGTGGGAGCAGCTGTGTGGGTCGGTCCAGGAGGAGCTGCTGAAGCTCAACAAGATGGTGGACGACTACAACCTGATTGTCCCAATGCTGAGCATGCAGATGGTCCACTTCAGTCTGACCCGGGAGGTGAACCGGGCCGCCAGAGGCGCTGAGCAGCACCGAGCGGATCAGCTGAGGGCCCGAGAGGAGAAGAGAGACCACGCTGCAGTCGAAACCAGACCTGATAAACCGGGTCTCATATCCTGGGTGCAGAACTTACTCCGAACATAAACCGGGTCGGACCAAAAACCAGAACTTTAAATTTAAAGCCAGGAAATAAAAATCTGAAGTCCAGATCAGCCCGATGGGTCGCTTACCAGAACCTAGCTCAGTTCAAGATGGCCGCTCGGCCCCATCTCACTCTCAGCTGCTTCCACAAACTTCAGCTCTGCTTGAGTAGCTGTGGCGGCCATTTTGATTCAGGTGGACGATGTCTCACATCCAGATCCGTCAACTGGCTCATGAGAAATTTTGCTAACAATTCAGACAAATGAACGCTGACTGGGTCCTGATCAAACCGTTAGTTTCAGTTGAAGATTTAATCTTTAATCTCTTTGTTTGTTTGTTTGTTTGTTTGTTTGCTTTTAAAGTTTCATAAAAGATGAACACTTTCAGCTGAAAAGTGATTTTTTTGAGTCGGCGCTCTCGTTATTGACGAGGTTCTGATCGGACTCCAGAGTTCCCGACTGAGATCAATATTTTCATATTTTTCTGACTCGTGTTTCTAAAACATGAAAATCTGAATTTCTGAAGAATAAATTTTCAAAACTTTATTTCAACATAAAGACGAACATTCAAACAGAACCTCCTGGTGTTCTGAAGAACTGAACTGTGGGGAAAGTCCAGAACCTCGGTCCAAACGAGTGGTTCTGTTCAAAATTATTTGAAACCCGGGTCTTTATCACCAGAATCTTCCTGCAGGTTCTGACATCTGACCCAACTGGTTTCTGAAAGGAACTTCTTTACTGAACAGAATCAGAACCAAAGCCCAACAGAGTTCTGTGTCAGAAGAACTCAGCAGGTTCTCAGGAGAACAGTTCTGTTCTGAAGTGTTTCTGGATCTTCTGGGTCCAGGTTTTAAAAGTTCTGGTCTCGCTGTGTTCCTTCCAACGATCCGGACCTTCCCGTGTTCTGTTGAAGTGGTCCGGATCGACGGTTCTGCAAACATGTTGTTTTGGACTTTGGCTGTTTTTCTCCCTCCCAGTTTCGGCTGTTGTAGCTGAAGGTTTTCAGAGGAAGTGCTTTTTGTTCCTGAAAGAAACCTCTGGAGGCCCGTAGAACTGCAGATCCGGACCACTTAAAGAACCGAACCTCCCGCAGAACCACAGACGTTTTGGATCATTGCCCGTCCAGCTGCAGGGCCGCAGGGTTGCAGATGACCACAGGCTCCTTGCTTCGGGCCCCGCCGCCCCCTGCCCCCCTCTGCAGGGCCTCGGCTACGGCTCTGGACGGCGCCGGCACCGCGGCGGTCCAGTCGTGGGCGATGTACTGATGGAACGGGTCCTGGGAGTTCTCCAGCTTCTTGGAGCGGATGAAGCTGAACATGATGCCAAAGGTGAAGAAGCTGAACATCCCCACCACCAGCAGGACGTACAGAACCCCCTGAGGCTCCGCCCCCGACTGCTGTGAGGCATGATGGGAGGTGTAGTTCTGAGGCGGGGAGGGCAACAGGAGGCCGGAGCTGTTGAAGCAGTGCTGCAGGAGAGCGACCAGGAGCGACTGCAGCTCGGTGCTGTTGGTGGGGGCCATGACCCCCCCCCCTGCACCCCGGATCAGGAAACTGCAACAAGAAAATAAAAATCTGCAGAATTTGAATGTTTTAATAATGCAGCTTTTAATTATTTGTGCATAAAACCAGAAAATAACAAGTTAAAGTAAAAAAATTATGCAAATAAAATATTTTATTAAAAAAATAATAATAACTGAAAGATCAATATTCTGCTAATTAATTTAAAATGCATTAATTTATTATATTTTATTTATGTCTGCATTTAAATAAGAAACTTATCAAATAAAGAAATCGTTTTTTTAGACTTCAGTGAAATGTGCGGGATGTTGACGAGAATTATTTTTATATGTTGAAGGAAGTTTGAGAAGATAAACCATAAAGAGAACAAAGATTAAAAATAATCACACAAACACATCTGACCATAATCACTTCAAATAAAGATGTTTTTCTGAAAAATGGAAAACTGAAGTCACTTTTTCTTGTTTTATCTTTAAAACTATAAAAATATTCTTCAGATTTAGACAGATTTTTTTAATTTTTAATCTTAAGAAAACATTTCACAGCTCAGGATTCTTACCTGAAACTAGAAGATTTCAGAAGAATTATAATTTTAATGTTTCAGACGAACAATCTGCACTAGTTTCTCACTTTGGTCAAATATTTAATTAGATAAAATGTTTTTAGAGTTTTAATGCAGTTTGTCACCGTCTGCCATCAGAACTGGAACCAGACTTTTCTGCAAACTTAAGTTCTGCAGCAGAATCTGAAGATCTTTACAGAAAACTAACTTTTTTTTTGAGCCGTTTGATGACCTTCAACGTTAAAATAAGTTTTCTGATCAAATTTTATTATTTTCATTTGTTTGATTTATTGAAATGAATCAAACCTTTTCAGAAACTGAATTATGTAAAATATGATGTGTATCCGAACAGAAAAACTCATTTTTTAATTTGTGTATTAGTTTAAATGTTTAGTTTGGAGGTTCATGGAGTTCTGATCCGGTCCACGAGCTGAAATCTGATCCCGAATCAGTTTCAAGGTCACTCCAAACAGTTTCCTTTAATTAAAACGTTAGAAGATATTTTTCCATCTGAAGTGAGCCTGGGGAAACTACTGAGGATTCATCCTTTTATGGAAATATTTATGTCTCTTTATAATTAAAATAATTATTTGTTTAACTGGATTCTCTTCATCTACTTTTAGGACTTGTGCGAAAATCTGATGATGTTTTAGGTCAGATTGATGCAGAAATATAGAAAATTATCAAGAGTTCACAAACTTTCAAGCACCTCTGTATATTTTCTGAATTTTTCGTCCCGGTCTGGAGGATTACTGACGTCTCCTCATCTTTCAGAATGAGTTAAATTAATCCAGATTAAGCTCCTGGTTCCATCAGAAACGTACCTGTGGAGGGTCTGCAGCAGGAAGCGGGTCTGAAGTAAACGAAACTCACAATCTTCTCTCAGACTCCAGGATCGTGAATCAAGCCGTGCAGCGAGGTCAACAGGTCAACACGTTCCATGAAACCGGAGGTCACGGTTTAAGGTCCCGGTGTGGTTCACCTCAGAGGTCCGAGCAGGTTTCTGATCTGTGTTCAGGATCCTCTTCAGTCCAAGTGTTCGAGTGTTCCTGCTGTGTTTTATAGTGTTCAGACGTGTGTGTGTTCAGACGATGGACATGGCAGAGTGTGTGTCGCTGTGTTTCTGAGCTGCAGGAGAACAAAGCAGCTTTCAGAGTGAAGGCGGTCAGACGAGAGGAGATGGGATTAAATTACAACTGGACCTCCTTCAGATGTCCTCTGTGTGTGTGTTATACAGTAATTTCAGATTATTCACAGTTTTGTTAGAGACGTGTCAGTTTGTTTCTGTTTGAAGCTTGTTTTGTTGTTATTTGTTGTGTTTTTATTTATTGTTGTTTTGTTGTGTCCATTCTAATCTCTACCTGTCTTGAGTCATGCCTCCTCAGCCCCGCCCCCTCTCACCTGTCCCCTGTCTCAATGAGCTCAGCTGTCTCCCATGTCTCAGTGCATGTGTCCACTCGGGTGTCCTTCATGTCCCTGCTCAGGTTCTCCTCTGTGACTCACGGAGAGTTTGTGTACGTTTTTTTCAGCCATTTTGTTTTGTTTGATAAAACTTTTAGTTTCCGTTAGAGTTCCTGCTGTCGGGCCCAGTTAGACTCCTAACGGTGGTTCTGAATGTGTCTAGACACACATTTGAGCTAATGCTGAGACACAGAGATGTGATGATTTCATCTTTTTTAATTTCAAATAACGCTGGTCAATAAATCAAAGGTTATCAATAAAACATTTATGAAAACAGAAATATTAAAGTTCTCTCTTTGGGAGTGTAAAGCGCAGATTTCTCTTCTGCAGCAGCAGCAGGGACGTTCTTTTGTTTGAGCCACAACTGGAGAATTGAAAAGTAAAAACGAAAAGAGAAAGTGACATAACCTTCAAGACCTCATCATGTGAGTCATGTTCTCATCCTGCAGATGTGTAACTGAGGTCTCCACATCTGGACTCAGGCACTGTTGTCCTTCATCTGTAAAAGTCTGGAAAAACAAAAACAAGTCAATAAAACAGGAGAAACAACAAATAAAACAAAGACAAAATAAACAAATGGTTTTAAATCGTACGCTTCCTGGGCCTTCAGAGCCTTCTTCTCCTCTCGCTCCTCGTGTTCGTCCCAAGTCTTCTTGTAACAGTAAACCAGGACCATGATGAGCCACAGCTGCAGAACCACGATCAGAACGTACATCAGGATCTCCGAGACCACCGAGACCACCTCCCGGTTGGCTGGAAGACACAGAACCAACAACCCGCAGTTAAACAGGAGACGTTTATACAAACACAACGTGAGTTTTGTTAGCTACCATCGAACGAAAGGAACAAAACATCTCGTAACTGTCCCATAAAACCCAGCAGAAACGTCAGACTGAACACGTGAAACCACCAGAACCTTCTGTTCCTCCAGATGTAGGAGTTCCTTTGTTCCACTGTGTAGTTTTCACACTGCGACTGTTTGAAAAGGCTCTGGTTTCAGTTTGGGTTTTGGGCTGATGAAGAGCAGTGCTGCCCCTCCCCCAGCCCGCTCCTCAGAGAAAAGCGGGAATCACCATGGCAACGGCCGATGAGTCTGCAAATTCTGAGTTCTTTGATTCAGCAGGTTATGTTTTTCCATCATGGCTGACGCTGAACGTAATCTGTGTTTTGAACATTTTTAGTCCTGATGTGAACGTTTAGGTTCAGGAAGATTTAATAAAATTTTTACAGAATTTTGTTTTAAAGTCCAAAAACAAACAAAAATGCACACAGACAGCTGTAACAGACTCTGATGTTAAAGTCAAAGAGCTTCAAATTCCTTTTCACAATTTACAGAAGAATGAATTAGAATGAATTTTGGTCAGTTGATTTGGTTTCTTTTCAATTTCAGACATTTTATCCCATCCATCTGTCTGTCCATCCGTCTGTCCGTTCATCTGTCTGTCCGTTCATCTGTCTGTCCATCTGTCCATCCGTCCATCCATCTGTCCGTCCATCTGTTCATCTGTCTGTCCATCTGTTCATCTGTCC